ATACAGTGGTCCCTCGGTTAACGAACACAATCCGTTCCAGCAGGTTGTTCGTTAACCAAAAAATTCGTTAACCGAAGCCATTGTTTCAATGAGTTTTTGGGTAATTGGTTCCAGCTCACCGAAAATTGCCTAAATTCAACAAAAATGGTTGAAAAGTTCACTTACTTTGAGGTGTGTATGTAGAAGGCTCCTGGATGATGATGATGATGATGTGCATTTGAAGTGGGAGGTGGAGGAGAAGGACGAAGAGAAGGCATTGGGGTGGAAGAGAAGTCACCACCATTTCGCCCATAAAATTTTAGTTCTCTTGGTGTATTTCAAGATTATTTTCTTTAAATCAACACTGCACTGCATTATATATTGTCAATATGTAAAATATATTTCAAAATGACCAATAATTTGCTTGGAAACACAGAAAAAAAGCATTTAGTTGAAGAGAGTTTCAAGCAAGATGTTACCTCTGTGGGAGACTCAGGTGGTCCTTACACTCAGGGGTAAAGGAAACACACTGATGTCAAGTCCGTAAGTTCTGTTTCTGGGACAAACACAAAAAGGAGTTAAGACAGGGGTAAACAGCGTCCTGTCTTGGAATCTCTCTGGGTATCTCTCTCTGCGCATGTGCCCAAAACCTGAACTAACACTCGGTGACAAAGGGGAGTATGATTATAAAACATATAATACAGAGACCTGAATCAATAATGGTAAATAGTACAGAGTTACATATTACAGCCATATTCGTCTCATATATGTACAACCTCCACTGAAAACAGAGAGAGACTAACGCCTGTCTGGTGTGTTAACAGGCTGGATGGCACGCCAGAAACTAGTTTCTTTACCTTCAATTATGTTCAATAATTGTTAAAATGACTAAAAAAGTTAATATTAAACTTTTAAAATTATTGAATAGTATAAACTTCTTGATATTTACTAAAATAGTAAGGAATTTAAGCCCTAGAACCGATTAATGTATTGGCAGACTAATACTAAAGCTGGTTGACCGGCCAGTGCAAGCAAAAACATGTTGAGATCGGTTCGTAAGAAATTCTTTAACAGAATTTTTGTTCGTTAACCGAATTTTTGTTCGTTAACCGAATTTAAGAATCTTATGGGAGGCAGTTCGTTAACCGAAATTTCGTTAACCGAGGCGTTCGTTAACCCAGGGACCACTGTATAGCAAATGGATAGGTTGTGGTAAGTAAGCTTGATATAGACATTTATTCATATACATACATACAGTACAGTATATACATACATGGATATAATTGATTAAAAATACAGTAATTAGTGTACTGTACTCAGAAGAAAGGTGCTTTTTCTAGTTAGGAAATTTTAAGGACACTTCACTTCCCCCCAGAAGGATGGTGTCCCCCCAGACTATGATAGACACAACCCGGAGCACCGGCACATCTACAAGTTCGTGCGCACTTTATTCAATGCTGCTCAACTCACTGCCGAGTGTGCCATTATTACACTAGTCTACCTTGAAAGGTTAGTATGGTACTGGTGTCCTAATGTATTGTACTCATTTCATTTAGCAAGTTTATGTAACACCATTTCTTTTACCTGTGGTTAACATTCCCATTACCTATTCTTGAATTTGTTAATATTTCTAATGTTGGAGTAAGAACTGAATTTCATAAATAGGTCAGTGAATTGTTGTGAAACTTTCGGAGATAAAAACCCTCGTTTCCTGAAGTTTACCTTTGAGGGGATCAGTCCCTCATTTTTGAGAAATTGGCAAATGTTCTTGATTATTGAGGAGTTGAAAATTATATGATGAAACTTTCTCAGACTGAATATTGTTTTTGCAACATCAAAAAAATTTTCCAGATTCTGCAGGTGAGTTCGTAATTATTCCTACAGGTTTTGTTGTTTGTAGTATTTCTCATGTACAGTACTGTAGTGTCACATGTTAACAGTTTTCACCGTCATTTTCTGTTATTGTCTTCACGTATGTTAACTATTTCAAGTCCATAATGTCTTCAAACTGTTGGAGAATGTTTGGGCCAAAGTGTTGGTTGTAGTCCTGTGCATCCTGAGCTTTCTTTCTTTAAGGGCATTAGCCCACCCGGGCACGGGTCATTTTTAATGACCCACATCAAGGCCCGGGGGCGAAAATATAATAAAACAATAATAATAATTATGCCAATGATGATGATAATGGTAATAATACAGGTTGTACCTCTCTAGTCCGGCAACCTCGGGACCTGACCGGTGCCGGACCATGGAAATTGCCGGACCATGGAAATTCACCCTTTTCCTGGTTAGATAGTGACTTGTGCTTATGCCTGGAAGCACTAGCACCACTTTCTCTGCGTCATGGTCTCTTTGAAGACATATTGAAGGGTTAAATGTCGTATAGTAGCTTCTCAAATTTCGCGAGTTTTTAATTCTTAACGTATTTTATTGGAACACACAAAAAATAAATAAATAAAAATTTTGACGGCGGAAACTTGAATTTCGACTGGGTTTGAACGGCCCGCCAACGTGCAGACGACGTGCATAATCGTGTAAACAGGGTCATTTCTCTTATGTACAAAAGATTCATTATTGTTTATTACTGAATGTCTTTTTTATTGAATTAATGTTTATATGTGCAAAATGAGCAATACAATTCATTAATAATACGTAGAACATTAAAACATATGAGGAAATGACACGCATTGTTTTCGTGGATTACAAAACCAGTGACTGACTGGTTCTACATATAAAACTGAAGAAAATAAGACCTTGGTTGTAGCTGTAGTAAAATTAATATGGTTGTTTTTTAAGCTAATGTTATTTAATGTTAATAAATGGAACAATAGGAAGAAGCTAACTATAATGGTAAAGAAAAGAGATCGATAAGGGCGCATGCACACGCGAAAACATATCGCCATTACTTTACATAAGAATATGAAAGCAACACTTATTTACTGTTCATATATATTTTAATTAATGTTTCTGAATTTGTTTTTATTGAATTAATGTACGTGTGTGCAAAATTAACAATACAATTTATTAATAATACGTGGAATATTAGAGGAGACGAGACGGCTGCCGGCATTGTTTATGTTAAAGCTTATGAAACCAGTGACTGATTGGTTCTACATATAAAACTGAAGAAAATAAGACCCTGAGTTTAGCTGTAGTAAAATTAATGTAAAGAATGAATATGGTTGCTTGAAGTACCTGTAATGTTATTTAATGTTAATAAATGGAACAATATAAGTAGCTAACCATTAATGGTAAAAAAAAAGTGAGACTGCTCGTATGTAAGTGCGCACATGTGAAAATATATCGTCATTACTCTACATAAGAATATGAAAGCAACACTTATTTACTGCACATATATATTGAAGGGTTAAATGTTGTACTCTGTATAAACAAGCAGAGAGAGAGAGAACAGCCGAACTGCCGGATGTAAACAAACCTTAATTTCCCGCAGCTTTTTTTTTTTTAAGGGGATTAGCCCACCCGGGCATAGGTCACTGACCCACATTGGGGCCTGAGGGGCAAAAATTTAATACCTGTGGCTAATAATAATAATTGAGCAAAAAAAAAGAAGTTGTTTTATCTGCATTTATTGGACAACTAGAACTGCTTCTGACTACGTGAGTTTTTGACTACAGAATGCTGAATTCCAAGGGGTATAATAATAATAATAGTAATAAAATTAATATAAATATATTTAATAAATAACAATTATAATAAAAGAAAATAATAATAATAATAATAATAATAATAAAATTAATAACAATATTTAAAAAAAAATAATTATAATAAAAGAAAATACACATACAGTAATAATAAAAGTATAAAAATTATAAATAATAATAATAATAATAATAATAATAATAATAATAATAATAATACCCCCTGTAATAATAAAGAGCCATGAATAAATTAAAAAACAAAAAAATAAAAATATCAATAGTGAGAAATGATATATGTATGTTGTGTTGTTAATAGTAAGAGAAACAATTGAGACCCTGCAATTGTGTGTAAATGAGGCAGAAAGTCAGATCAGCAACCTGGGACTTGGTCACAATTTTTGTGTTGCCAACAATTTTTGTGTTGCCATATGGCAGCAGGGTCTACCATTAGACAACACATTATGCTTCCAATATCTTCCCAGATGGTAGTACCTCCCTGTTTGATAGCTGCCTACCACCTACTAAGGTCTTCCATTTGTTTGTTGCTCACAATAATATTGTTTCCAGGCTGTTGACATATGCTGACATAGACATGACACCGGGAACGTGGAAGCGCATTGTCTTAGGTGCTATCATTCTTGCCAGTAAAGTCTGGGATGACCAAGCTGTATGGAATGTTGACTACTGCCAGATCCTCAAGGACATTTGTGTTGATGATATGTAAGTTTACTTTCAGCTCTTTTATATCATTATAATGATCTCATAATTGTTTAACCCTTAAATGGCAGCCGTCATCAGTGGAAGTTGGCTGAAGGGATGCCACCTTCCCATGCAGTAGCCTCTTGCTATGGACCTGGATTTTAAGTACTGTTCTGTATAGTAAAATGGATGCAAGTGGTGACATGTGAGCACAAAACACACTGCACATTACTTATTGTACCTAAATATTCTTTCTATTATATTATGTGTTTTTTCTTTTAAAGCAATTTATTTTCTTTCATTGGACCAACAGGAACGAGTTGGAGCGTCAGTACTTGGTAATGATCCAGTTCAACATCAACGTGCCGTCCTCCGTGTATGCCAAGTATTACTTCAGCTTACGTACCCTAGCAGAAGCCAATGATTTGACCTTCCCGGCAGAAACTCTGAGCAAAGAACGCGCTCAAAAGTTGGAGGCCATGTCCCGCATCTGTGAAGACAAGTACGCATCCCAGTTGGGGCGTAATGGCCACAAGAAGTGGAGCAGTCTGGACAATATCAACGCTACATGCCGACGCTCAGTGGCAATCCTCTCATGATCTTAGGTTCTAAGATAAAATCTTATGCACAGAGGTCTTTAACTATGTTAGGAAATACATCATCTTACTACAGTTTCAACCTCCATGTTTGTTAACGTCGGTGGTGGTGATATTTTTTATTAAACGTTGAGGCCACAGTTCATGGTGATCACTTTGTCTTGGTCTCCTTAATATAATCTTGGGATTTTTGCCAAATACTTTGTGACTGAAAAGAAAGAAAAACACTATTTTACCTCACATTTGATAGAGAAGCCATATTATGACTTTACCTAAACACTAAAACCTTTTATACGGTGGCAATATAATAATGAAAAGCAAAGTATATTTGCAGTGTATGTGTATAGATATAAATTTACATATACTGTATCATGAAGTTAAAACACTAATGACTGGAAATTATAGAAGAATGTGTAGAATAATGTGAAGCGTCTTAAACAGTGATGAATAGTGGAATTACAATTGGGAACAAATATTGAGCGGTGTCTTAGATCAGCCTTTATTAAAGCAATACCTGGTTTATATATATATATACACTATATATATATATATATAATATATATATATATAATATATATGTATATATATAATATATAAATATAATATATATATAATATATATATATATATATATATATATATATATATATATATATATATATATATATATATATATATATATATATATATATATATATATATATATATATATATATATATATATACAGTATATATATATATATATATATATATATATATATATATATATATATATATATATAAAACCTCTGAATGATTATAATTTTTTTTTAATGGTGTAAGACATTGAAAATGAAATGGCATTAGCTGATATTGTGTAGTGATATCCATTGTTGTCAAGAACATGACATTCACACAACCACAGATGTGTGTGTGTGTGCAAGTGTTGTGTTTGATGGTCAGAACTACAGGAAAGTGTGATAAACAATGATGACCATGAGCCATTTTATACTGTGATGTGCCACTGTTCAGTATCACCCTGTTTGTGTATTAATCTCTTGCCTCTATGTTATTAATTCATCTTTATAACAAGTTGTTGTATTACTTCATGTAATTAGCCTCCATAATTCACTTTATTAGCTTGTGTAGTTAGGCATAATTGTTCATGGGTAATTTTTTATTTTCAGCTTATCTTACTTTAGGATATACTATGTTAGTACGATGCAGCCTCGACGGCTTCGGGTGACCTCTTCTATTATTATTATTCTGGAGGCGTGTTGTTGTGGTTGCCAAAGTTGAAGTATCAGAATGATTGTGGATTGATCATAATGAAACTATGCATATATTAGATTATTATTTTAATCAGTGACCATTAAATGATTCTGCAGGTGTACATACCTTCTTTATAAAAACACACACACACACACACACACACACACACCTGCGCACATGTGTTCAGACGAAGATGTTCACATACATGTAGCTCTTATTAACATCATGCTCATGTACTGTCTAGGTTCGTCCCTCCACATACTGTTACTCCACCTATTTCTACTTTATCGCTCCACCTACCTCTACTGTATCTCTGCTCCACCTACCTCTACCTTATCCCTCCACCTACCTCTACTGTATCTCTGCTCCACCTACCTCTACCTTATCCCCTCCACCTACCTCTAACCTCTTCAGTACAGTGAATTAGCCTATTGAGTAAGAGGTCTTAAACCCTGTAGTACTGTATAATGATTTGATCCCTTGAGTACAATGTCTTAACCCTTGAATTACATGATCAAATCTTCTAGGTTATGATGGTGTTCTATCTAGCAGGTTACACTATAAATCATCACTTTACATACTGAGTTACAATATCCATCACTTTACATATGAGTTACAATATCCATCACTTTACATACTGAGTTACACTATATACATCACTTTACATACTGAGTTACACAATATCCATCACTTTACCTACTGAGTTACACTATATCCATCACTTTACATACTGAGTTACACTATATCCATCACTTTACATACTGAGTTACACTATATCCATCACTTTACATACTGAGTTATGCTATATCCATCACTTTACATACAGAGTTACACTATATCCATCACTTTACATACTGAGTTACACTATATCTATCACTTTATACTGAGTTACACTATATCCATCACTTTACATACTGAGTTACGCTATATACATCACCATACATATGGAGGCCCTCATACCTGATACTACTCCTCCAAGTCTACCTGCTCAACCATTATCACTGCCATATAATTGTTTCAACACACACACACACACACACAACTCAGGAAATGTGTGATAAAACAAGAACTTTCCTCCAACACTAATATAAGCTAAGACAGTGGCTTGCCCTCTTTTGTCACATCTCTTTGGGTCATCTTACACCATGATTGAGAAGGGTTAATCCAGATAATAAATTAACTTCCTACCACCGAGTTTGTTGTCCCAGAAAGTTATACATTACATATTACATAAGTAGATGACATTAACAGGCCAGTTGCTAAAAGATTTAATTTTGAAATTTTGATACAAGATTTGAACAAAACTTTTAACACAGTGATAAGTACTTTGACATATATAAGATATGAAAAACTATAACATTTACAGTAAATATTTAGTGTTAATCCTTTCAGTGCTACATGCAGTACATCTCCTCTTGAGAGGTACCACAACTTTTATATTTCAAAAAGTTCAGAAAGTCGCAAAAGAAATGTATGCATAATTTAATGATACTTACAGGTTAATGGTAAGAACTTTGTTTATAATATGTATACTGGTACTATTTAATGATGAAAGACATTTTTCTTTAATTATTTGTTGTTTTTGTTTTATAGATTTGTTTTAGGATAATTTTCAGAATACCATTTTTAAGAAAAAGATACTTATTTTTGTTTATTATTTAGTAGAGATACATATTTAGAACTGACCAGCCACAACACACACTGCTTGTTGACACTCATCCTTCACGCTCCCATACTGACCTGTGTTGCACACCATCTCCTTACCTGTTGTCACTCCTCATTTTTCTTGTGTATTCCTCTAACATGTTAACAAAATACCTCTTGTCATTTTTGTTTCGTATTTTAGTATTTTTGATTTATGAATATTATTTTTAATTATGTCAGTATTTTAGTGTCCTTATTCCTCCTTTTCTCCCAATCTCCTCACCTCACCTCCACAGTCCTCTACTAGTTTCTACACTGCCCCCACACCATCGCAATACCATATATTATCCTGTGTTGTCCCTGTCTACAAAATAAACCTTCAGTACTGATTAATTTTGGTGAGTGGGAGAAACCAGTGCAGACAGTGCACACGAGACACTACAGCCAGACAGTCACACGAGACCACAGCCAGACAGTCACACGAGACACTACAGCAGACAGTCACACTAGATACAGCCAGACAGTCACAATGGAGAGCACTACAGCCAGACAGTCACACGAGACACTACAGCCGACAGTCTACTAGACACTACAGCACAGTCACACGAGTAATGTCACACGAGACACTACAGCCAGACAGTCACCAGACACTACAGCCAGACAGTCACACGAGACACTACAGCCAGACAGTCACCGGCACTAACTACAGCCAGACGTCACAATGAGACACTACAGCCAGACAGTCACACGAGACACTACAGCCAGACAGTCACACCAGTAACAATTACAGCCGCATAGTCACACGACCACTACAGCCAGCAGTCAGACAGAGACACTCAGCCAGATAGTCACACGGGACACTACAGCCAGACAGTCGACCTGAGCCAGATACAGCCAGACATCACACGAGACAACAGCCAGACAGTCCAGTTAATTACAGCCAGACAGTCACACTAGACACTACACCACAGTCACACTGACCTCAGAGACAGTCACAATCGAGACTACGCACACCAGGACACACTATACACCAGGATATACCAGCCAGACAGTCACACTGACACTACAGAGATAACACGAAAGTCATGCTAGACTGCTAATAGCCACTGGATATTCCTTCTGCCAGAATAATAATACAGTATGACATTATGGTTACTGTATACTGCCAGTTAGAGATAAAAGACTCACACTGATAAGCTTGAGAGCACTATGTAGCTGGAAGCAACATTACATAATTATGAGTATATTAGTATATGTGATTGTACACATGCACACAGTATACAACACATGCAAAAACAATCATATAGATATATAAACACATGTACACATACATATACAAGTGTTGTATTAGTTTTCATGTTTTTTAATCCACCACAAAGCTGCAGGAGCTATCTTCACTTCCACTGTGATCAAATACTTTAAGGTAGAAGGATAATGTTTTAACAGCACTTGTAGGTATTGCCAAACCGTTAACTAAAGTCATTGTGGTAATTTGAACTTGAGAGAGTTATTAAGAATCATGGTGTTTAATAGGGCCTTCAGCCGTGGGCCCCAGCAAATAACTCTGATTGGATTGTTAGACAGCCCAAATCTTTACGGTTAGGTTAAGTTCATAAAGACTATGATATAGCGTCATTAAATATCAAACCTAGATAATGATTTAGAAGTCTTCCAGCAGTGATGATTAACACTGAATGTATGTTGTAAAATGGATGTGAGTGTTTATGGCACTGTTTTGTCATTGGTTACAAAATATTTTTCGACTTGCAGTTGGCTCTATATGAACAATAAATATCTAAAGAGGATATTAAAATAAAAACAACAACAAAGAGTGATAAAATGGTATAGTAAATGGTGTTATGAAAACCATATTTGAAATCATTCCAAAGACGAAAGTTTGTCCGAGTGTCAAACATTGTGCATAAGCTTTACTCAAACCTTTATTTTTTAAACTCCTCATAGTGATTAATTAATCTCAATTAATATTTCTTTTTATTGTCCTTCACTATCCTACTATTTCTCCTATATCTCAAGAAAATTATATCTCAAACCTTTAATTTTCTAAAACATTTGTTTAGTTTTTGCTATGTGAGTTACTGGGTAATATTATAATGTTCTGTGATGGAATGATTTGTCTGTATAGTACATATAAGTGACTATTAACTACCACATGTTAAGTTGAAACTTAAAAAAAAAGGAGTAAAGTTTAAATTAACAAAAGACATGATCAGTAAGTCTGGTAATGATATTAAATTGTTCTAATGTGTGGAAAATTTGAATGTGGGAGGAAGATTTAATTACCATATAAAATTGAATTGTTA